TGGCGTTAGCACTAATGGAGTCATTAAAAGCATTGGCTAAGGACCAAGAGAAATTATTATTATTCTTGTCAAGAGGGCAACGCAGCAAGTTAAAGTCTCCCCCAATAACCATCGGTAAAGTACAAGACTCAATCTTGGTTGAGAGTTCATTAAGGAAAAGGTTCGATAGAGAGTGGTCCGCAGGCCCATAAACAACGATGTACTCACAGAGGGTATTCATAGATTTGTGAGACAGAACAACACTAGCCCAAAAAAACCCATGATCAAAAGCAACGAAATCAAAAATATCCTTATTAGAGCCAATCAAAATCCCGCCAGAGTGTCCCGAAGCAGGTAAGAATTGCCAATGAAATCTATCCATACCCACGATAGCAGAGAGCTCACTAGGGGAGAAGGAATCCTTAAAAGTTTCAACCAGCCCCACAAAATCAATAGAGTTAGAACGAACCAAATCTTTAAGTCGGTCATGGCGCCCCCTAGCACCGAAACCCCTTATATTCCAGAATAAAGCCCTCATTTATACGACAGGTTCTTGATACGGAGACTCGACCTGCAGGGGGGCATGCAGGATTAGAACGTTTATTAGCGCCCCTCTTGGCAGGACAGGAAGGGGGCTGGCCACTACCAGCACCCGAAGCCTCCCCCGCAGCACAGCCAGCATCCTCGACCCGCGAGGCAACAGCCTCTTTGGCTTTCGCAATGGCTGCCTGAGCCAATTCATTAGCCCGAATAATGGCAAGAAGCGAACTAGGAGAACCAACAGAAGAATCGACCACCACACCCACATCCAACATAATGTTTAAAAGATGATCATCAGACATCGAAGATAAAACCACCCGAACCGGAGAAACAGCGGCAAATGAGGATGGGGAGGTACCTGGGGGAGGGAGGTCCTTCGCCGCAACCCGCTTCTCCGCCCGTTCCAGGATAGAACCACCAGAGTGCGCCACCCGTCTACCTTTATGGGCCGTGGACACCGGGGAACGGATGGCAGGCGACCGCACAGCAGGAGAGCCAACATGGGGGCCTGAGCGGGACATGGAGCCCAGATCTTGATCAAGACGCCGACAAATCCCCGTCATTGATTGCTTCGAGCCCGACGAGTTCCGGCTCTTAGCCGAGTACTTGCGCACTGAGGATTTCTTCTTCGAGGGGGGGC